TTTTTTTTAATATAAAAAATTTGTTACAATTAGTAAGGGAAGGGACCAAAACTAAGAAAGGAATTAGTGGGATTTGAATGCAGCTTACCAAGTAATTTACTGCCATGCATGCATTTCGTATACATTTGATTGGTTTATAACTTTGAATTTGAAACTCTTTAATATCTTATCCTAATCCTATCTAAAGGGTTATATTCTTTGTAAGAATTTCTAATTCAGAATCTGAAACCCTAGTCAATATTCTCTCAGCAGACTAGCAGAGGAACCATTCCCGTGTCATCCCAAATTTAACTCTAGAGAAATAGAGAAAAAAAACTTTTCCTTTCAATCAATTAAGACGTTGACACAATCTTGAAGAACCCAAAAAAATTTCCACCCCCTCCCCTTGGTTTCCTTTGAACCAAATTGTTCTTCTGACAATTTCTGTTCTTGAGAGTTGAGGCTTTGAAAATGAGAATCTTATTTAATAGTCCAACTGCACAATTATAAGATGAGGAAGGCCCTAACATTTATTATTATTATTTTTGAATATTTGGGAATTATGGGAGAATGGATGATTTGTTCGTATTTTGTGAAAATTAAATTTTTGACCAGCTAAATTTAAGTGTTAAAATTTGAAAATAAATCATTAAACTTAAAGATTCAGTTTGTTCTTAATATTTATTTAATAGATAATATTATGTAATTTAATATAATTTAAATTATATAACACATTTTTCTTAAAAAATTATCTATGTTCTTTAAAAGATTGGGAATTTTACTGTTGATTATTATTTACACAACCCAAATGGAGGGAGAGGAAAATATGTTGAGCATGACTGGAGCCGAACCCCATAGGCGGCTATTGGTATTTTGTTGACTCACTTTCAGCACCGAAACGCTGGAAAGTTGCTGACTTCGTCTCCTATGATTTTAATGTTAGGAAGAAATTCAAAAATGATTTAATTATAATATTATATAATAATATTATAAATTTGTAATTATAATATATTAAAAATGTATTTATAAAATTATATATATTTATTTAATAATATATTAGATTACAAATTTATACTTTTATAAAAATATTATAACAATAATAACATTTATAGAAGAATTAAATGTGAGAGCCCAGACAGCATAATTTTATTGACTGGCCACCTCAGTCAGATGCTTCCTCCCGTCCCGCGTGTACAATTACGTGGAAACTTTCTTCCCTCCATACTTTTCCTTGGGTGGATTATCGTTCCAACTTCTGAATCATCTGTAAAGTTAGGAATTAGAACAAGTCAGCTCCTAGATTTATTTGTATTTCATTTTTTTTTTTTTTAATTCTGAAACAATGAAAGACATTTTACTAAAGTTTCAATTATTGTTGGTCTGCTTGTACTTATTACATTATGGTT